GCCCGTCTACAAACACACACAAACATGGAAGCACAGACGGACAGACAACCATGTTAGGTTCAAAACGCACAAAAGCAGTCAGACTCATCAGTGCAAAGGAAACACAGACGCCGCAGGAAGCGGGGGGCGAGGTGTGATGAGGGGAGCCCATGAACTTTAGCAGCCATCCTGGATGAGGACACGCGGCGGGGCACGACAAGCCAATGAGACATGTTATACCGTTTGTTATGAAAGCACATAGGAGATGTCCGGGCAACCCTTCATCCACGGTTTGGACACAAGCCAAGTCGAGCATCCCACACCGAGCAGATTTCCTCTGTTCAATCCCAGCATGCCTTGGCACGGCAACGAGTGACCGCAGTCACAACAGCAAAAAACAGGGAAGAGACAGAGAGAGGGACAGAGGGGCTGGATCTCTGCCATGTCTCCCTTGTAGGGAGTTAATGAAGCAAGAAAAGCGTGGATACACTTCAAGCATCAACTTTCACACACACACAATCACAGTGGGCACAATAACCAAAGCCAGCACAGACAGCGGGCATATTGAACACGTCTTTCATATTTATTTAAACATGTTCCCACCTCTTGCACAAACAAAAAGCCCCGACAAGGCAACCAGCCACCAAGCTGTCGAAACCTGACGTCTTTGTTTGTGGTTAAATCGTGTTCGATTGATGTCTTGATTAATAATTTAGTGCTTTTCAGGATGAAGCACAGATGAAAAATAAGGAGATGTTGCATTCAGCATGGGCGTCCCTATACTTGGCACATATGTGACGAGTGGAGGGGAGGTGTTGTTGAATGGAGAGACGTCTGGGTGAGACGCCGACATGGTGTCTGAAATAAAAGGTGGACAAAGGGGAGGAAGAGCAACTAGAGGTCGGAGTGGAGAGAGACGACAACGAGCGGAGGAGCGAAGACAAAGAAGAGCACAGAGACAGTGGTTAAGAGCATGTTACTTCAGGGACACGCTTCATCTGGAACAACACATTAATAATCATGACATTCACTGTCTCTCAAAATGTGTTGCACTGCTTCCAGGGAACAATAAACTGCTCATTATTAAGAGTTAAATTGTGTATTCAGGGTGAAACATGCCAAATACACAACCGTACCAAAATATGAAATGATATCAATAAAAAGCTAACATCCAGTGGCGGCTGGTGGAACATGTTCTAGGTAGGGCTGTGCCACATCCAATCAATTTCAGCAAACATCCCAGAATGATTTAATGCAAAACACGTATTACTACTTTGCAGTTAAATATTTAACCTTTATTCCAACATGAAAAAAAGCAGTAAATAACACTTCCATAAACACGTCAGGACATCTTATTTTTGTCACCCTCACAGAGAATTCAGTATAATATAATAATATATATATCATATAATAATATTCTGTATAATATAATAATGTATATCATATAATAATATATCATATAAAACACACATAATTATTGATTTATAACTATACATCATGTCTCAGCAGGTGCTTCATGTCCCTCTCTCCCTAGCTGTCCGTGCTGGATCTGTCCCGTTGTTTTAAAAAGCTAAATAAGTTATTAGCATGACGTCATGCAGCTAGCCTAACCTGTCTGGTGTGCAGCTAGTAGAGAAGGTTGTGCTACATTTATAAGGCATCTGTAGTTTCTATTCCTTTGCAGATTATACTCTTTATACAATCATATTATAAAATAATGATGAAAATGTGAGGAGGGGGTTTTGCTTAATTAAAACTGAAAGTGATTAAAAATGTTAAATGTCCCGATAGTCTGATGGACCAATGATTTAAGTTTAGTGTTATATTGTAGCAGTCTGGCAGGTAAAAAGCAAACTGTGCAGCAAAATGTTGCCAAATAAAACGATGGTGTCAAATAACCGTTGACTCCAGAAATCAGAAGATATGAGTTGCTAACGTGTAACAGCAGATAAAAGTCACCCAGACAGAAAAAACAACATGTTATGGATGTTTCTTTTTTTATTTCATTCAAAACAGGAAAAAAACTAAACTTTCCTCTTTGGTTAATTATTTATCCATTCAGCAGTTTTTAAATTAAACATTTACAAAATTCAAAATAAAAACAAAATACGACACAGAGGTTCAAATCATAAATATTCACAGTTTTTTCCCAATGAATCACAAACTCTTGTCAATAATCCTCCAATAGCACTCGTGTGCTTCTGTGTGAGGCAAATCAAACCACTGACTTCTCTTCTAAATGTAACATTCAGGTTCACTTTATAAACTGGTGGCAGTCATGAGCAAGTTCACAGCGCGAGCAAATACTTCAACAAGTCCAAAGTTTAACATTTGCTTTCATTATATTGGCTTTCCTATAGTTAGTATAAAGTGCTTTTCCTTCACAATTTGTTCACTTTCATTTTTGGATGATGCGTTTCATATGAGATATCTTAAGGTGATACAAAAAGTATCCTGGGAAAATAAAAACTAAGTTGAAAACAAGAGATCCAGGCACTTTGTGGACCGAGAAAGGGAAAACATCATTCAAGTAAACGCAGTTTTTTCTATGATGGTCAAGATGAGGTCACTGAGCCGAGCTCTTTCTCCTCTCCCCAGCCGGCGTCCACCTCTCCACTGCTCTTCTCTTCCCTTCCGTCTCTGCTCTTTGTCGTCTTCTTCTGCTCCTCTTCCTCCAGCACCTCCGAGGCGTCGTGTCTCTTCTCCTGTTTCTTCTTCTTCTCTTTTCTCCCGTTCTCTTGGCTTTCTGACGAGCTGACGCTGCGGCTGCTGGTTCTCTCTCCTTCCTCCACCTCTCTTATCGTCTCCCACTTGGTCCGTCCCACTCCCTCGTCCTCCCATCGACTACCTCCTGCTCTCACGGCCGCTATCTCTTCAACTCTCCTCCTCTTGCCTTCTTTCTTCACCTGCCTGAGCTTCCACTCCTCCTTTTCAACCCTGCTCTCATTTCTACTTCTGTTCTGCATGACTTCTGGAGCAAGGCTGCTCATTCTGGGCTCTGGTGGGGAGTGGTGGGTCCCTGCAGGTCTGTCCTGGTGTCTTTTGTTCTCTGGTGGATCTAGGTGATTGTGGTAGTAGTGGGGTTGGTCTTTGCCTTTAAATGTAGAGTCCAGTAACGTGTCTCTACATGATTTGTGGGTATTTTGATCAGGCACTTCGGTAGCTCTGCTCCTGCCAGCGGAGGATTTCCTGCTGATACGAGGTGAACTCTTGGTGTTGCCCAGGTCGCCTCTTCGCTGCCTGTCTCTCCTCTCTGTGTCACGTGACTTCGAATGAGAGGAGTAGTGAGAGGAGGAAGGGGGATGCCTCTCTCTCTCCCTGTCTCTCCCTTTCTCCTCCTCCCTCGCCCTCTCTTTTGATCTTTTGCTCTCTTTCTGCCTCTCCCTCGGTCTCTCGCTCTCCCTCCCTCTTTCTCTGTCCCGCCGTCTTTCCCCGTCTCTGTCTGAATACGCGGTGCTGTCGTTTCTGTCTCTGCCACTAGAGGGAGCCACACTTCGGTGTGAACTGGACAGAACAGGGGTTTTCTCTCTCTCCCTTTCCACTGACCTCTCTCTCTTTTCTTCATTCTGTGCTTCCCTGTTGGTTGTTGTCTCTGATGTCACAAACACGGATGACGACGGTAGAAACGATACAAGAGCATCTGTTTGAGCTTTGGTCGCTGCTTCATCCCGCTCTTTTTTCTCAGACTCTTCCTTCTCCCACTTGGAGTGAGGGACCTGAGAGACGGAGACATCAGAGATCAGTTCCTCCACCGCCAACTATTTAACAATTTAAAAACATCATAAAATCCAAAATGAACATAACTAACAACTCACTACAACCTTGTAAACGAAGCAAAGGGATTATGAAAATCACAGACTCAAATAATAAAAAGTATCCAGATTAGATCTCCATAACACTCAAAAACCCACAATGGGAAAAAGACGTGTGTCTCTCTCTCTCTCTCTCTCTCTCTCTCTCTCTCTCTCTCGACCCCGATTCTGTATACAAATCAGCAAAATATGCAACTTAAACATTATAAAACTATCCACAGAACATGTAAATGATTTTAAATGATCTGGGCCCACAGACCTGGACCTGTAGGAGCACGAGCTCCTCCTCTTGGTCTGCAGCTCTGTCCTCGGTGAATTCCTGCAGAGTTTTCACCAGCGTCGTCTTCTCCTGACGATCCTCGTAGCTGCTGTGTTCCACATACACACAGTACATTTAAACCAGTACTCATCTCTGCATTAGTAAGAAGGCTTGCATGCTAAGGTTCTACCAGTGGAACCGGTTGTGAAAAAATTGGTGAGGCGACACTTTCTGTGCTATTCTGACGTATATTTTGAACTAAACTAATTATATGGTGACACAATTAAAGTTGACTGTAATGCTAAACGCATCATCGTGCGAGTAGACAAGAAACAGAATAAAAGAAGCAGAATGTAGAGCAGAAAATTCAAGATACATTTACAAGATTTTCATGAAATCTAACTATGCGTAGACACAATTTATAGTCTGCAGCAATATCCATTCAACATATATCCATTCTGTATTTACATCTCTATATATTAGTTTTAATTGTTGGACATTTCCGTCTACTGCTGGTTGACATTGAAAGTGTTCAACGGTGAAAAGAACGAGTGTCTTTGACTGTGAGGCAGTCACAGGAGATGCAACGCATTAATGGCGGAGATATTTCTGCAAGACAACAGTCTTTTTGACAGCGGATCAGATTGAAATACTTCACGGTGTGTAATGGGACAAGAAGGAGCTGAACTTTAAAGCAGAAACATTCTGACCTGCCGTCGTCCACCGAGGTATTCGGTCCGTCTTGCTGGCTCTCGTTTCTGCTCCTCTGGGACGTGGACCTCACTGTGTCTTCCTCTTCCTCCCACATTCTCCACTTCAGTCCCTCCATCAGGTCCTCCTTTGACTCCCCCGCTGGGTTTTCTATGTTTTCCTTGCAGGTGCTTTCTCCCATCGCTGGTCCTTCCTCTCCTCCCCTCACGCTGCTCTCATTTGTCAGCTCTTCTTCTCCGTTGTTGGCCTCTGTCCCGTCTCTTTCATCCCCCTGCTGTTTGCTCTCCTTCGTCTTGTCCTCCTCTTCTCTGAGGGCATTATGCCACAAGTCAAAGTCCTCCTTTTCTCTGTCCTCTTTCTTCTCTCCGATGTCTTTTTTCTCCATCATCTCTCCCTCATCATCTCTGAAGGTAGCTTTCTCCCATTTCTGTCTTGCCTCTCCTTCATCTGGTTTTATTTTTCCTTCAGACACACCTTCCATGTCTCTGCTGGATTCCTTCTTTTCATTTGCTTTAATGTCTGTCTCTTTGTTGAACTTCTCCTTCTCTTCAATTTCTTCTTTTGTTTTCTCCAAATAAGAAAATTCCAGTTTTTCAGTTTTCTCTTCCTTCCTTTTTCCATCCAGGTTGATGTTGATGCTTATCTTCTTCTGTGGTTTCACTCTTATCCCTCCCTCCCAGATGTCTCTCTCTGCCAGATGCCATGTTTTCCTCTCCTTTTTCTTCTCTGTTTTTGGCTTCTTTCTGTCAAATGGATTCGGGGATTCACTCTTGCGGGTTTTGGGGTCCTCTGCAGTGTCAGTTTTCAGGCATTTGCTGTTTTCAACCTTAAGAGAACTTCTCTTGATGTCCTCTCTTTTTCTTTTTCTATTCTTCTCTGATCTTGAGTGAGAAGCTGTGTAGCCTCCAGGGTATCTGTCTGTACCCACCATGTCTGGATCTTTACTGGGCTTTTCTGTGTGCCTTCTCCCCGCATCCTGCCTGGAGTCTGAATGTTTGCTTCTTCTCCGTCCTTTCTCCATTTCCAAATTCTTGTGTTCTCTGCTTTTTCTTTCATAGTCTTTATCCAAACGTTTATCTGGTTTGGCGGCCGGTTGGACTGATTCTACGGCATCGCTGGCAGTTGCTTCGTCCTGTGCTGGAGCGGCATCCTTGAAGGCTTTTGTTCCAGTGCTTCGCCTCCTCTTGTCCTTCCTGCAGTCATCCATTGAGTCTGCAGCATCAGGGGATGATGACTCCTCTCCTCTTCCTTCCTCATGCTTCTTCTTTTGCTCATGTTTTACGTGGCTGAGGTTCTCCAAATTCTTCGAGATTACCTGCTTCGCGTCTTCACGACTTTCTTGCAGCTCCACTTCTTTACTGCTCTTTGTGAGTGTGACCGACAGGCGGTTGTACCTCTCAGTGCCCTTCTGCTGATGGACCCTTGTCTGAGCTCCATCTTTGGACGGCGTTGAGTGTCTGTCACTGGACGACTGAGAAGGAGGGGACCGGCTTTCGTTGGACGAATGAGATGGAGAAGAGCGACTGTCACTGGATGACTGAGACAGCGTGGAGCGGCTGTATCTTGAAGACTGAGATGGAGGGGAGCGGCTGTCACTGGATGACCGCGATGGAGGGGAGCGGCCCTCCACCCGAGCGCTGCGTCTACCTGTGAGTCGGCTGCGAGAGTCCGAGTGAGAACGGGAGAGATTTTCGCTTCCTTCTCCGTCCCCCCACTGAGGAGGAGGAGGAATATTGAGGAGGGGAGGAGGAATATTGAGGAGGGGAAGAGGCAGCTGGTGGAAGTGGCCGACATAGCTGCTGAAATATTTATCACACCACTCTTTGTAATGCCTGCTCCACTGCAGGTAGCGCTCTCTGTCCTGCTCCAGGCTGCCACTCTGATTGGCGTGCTGAGCATACAGGTGTCCGGGTAAACTTCCCCCCGAGGCTGCCGCTTCCCTCTGGTGATGTTCCACTCGCTTCCTGGAGCTGCTCGAAGCTGATTTCTTACCGTGGTGCCGACTGTGATGGCTGCTTTTGCGGTGATCTGACGGCGACTTGGGCCTGGAACGGTAACCCACTCGAGGGGAAGACGACGAGGACGGTGTGGGGGAACGTTTGTAACCGAAGCTGTAGGAGCGGGAGGAATGAGAGTGGCTGTGGAGGTCTCTGTGGCGCGAGTAAGGTGAGTGGGGCCTGGAAAATATAAGTTTTGTCCAATGTGAGAGAGAGCACTGAGACGTTGAACTGCAAAAACATCCTGCCCAGTACATATCTGAAGGGATCTGTATCAAGATTGCCATATTTTACTACCGGCCGATATGTTGTTATCAGATTCAGATCAATATTGGTATCAGTCTCAAATATCAATTATTGGTCATATGCGCATTGCTAGTGAGAACCAGAGCTAAAGGAACACAATAAATGTAAGAATATTTTTAAGGAAAATAAATAAATAGAAAAAACACGAAAAACTTGAGAAAAGGCACAAAATACCTTGATCTGCCGTGGGACCTGGACCTGGACCGAGATCTGGACCTGCTTGAAGAGCGAGAGTAGGAGCGAGAAGACTTGAACTTAGAAGACTTTGAATCAGAACGAGAGGAGGAGCGTCTGTGGGAAGATCCTCTGTGAGGTGACCTGAGGGACAAAGACAGAGGAGGGAGCACGTGTTTCATATTACTATAAATATATTGTCCTCATACTACAACAGCTCTGCAGCTGTTACTAAATCTAATCAGATATTCAAATACTCAAAGTTATCAACTTAAAAACACAATGTCCAAATTTCAATAAGGCTACTTTATAGTTTCCTTTGCTGCCTGGAATTAAAGTAAAGACAATTTTCAAAAGGATGAAACAATTGATAAGTCATATGATTTAAGACGTTTTCATCAATTTACATTTACATATGACATCCTCGTGGGTATGACTGCTTGGAGAGCCTTACCTTTCCTTCTTATTTCTCTGATGCTGGTACCACTCCTTGGGGATGAGGGCAGGGATGGCGGTAGAGGGGCACAGGGAAGGGATGGGGGCCCCTTGGAGGTTTGGGAGTGTCCAGAGGGGCGCAGGGGGTGGGTATCCGGGGGGGTAACTGCTGAGAGGCTGCTGAGCAGCGAGGAATGTGTGGAAATGAGGAGAGGGAAAGAGAGGAGGAGGAGGAGTAGCTGGATATGAAGTGATGGAGGGACGAAGCTGCTGGGTGTTGGATTCATTCCAGCCTCCAGTGGGACAAAGTGAGGAGGAGGAGGAGGAGCTGGGGACAGAGGAAGGAAGAGGTAAAGACATCTGGAAACAGAGGGCAGAGTCAAACAGAGACGAGTATCTAAACACACACTTCACTGACCTTTCCCACGTTGACGGTCCCGAGGGCTTTGGGGCTGGACCTGTGGATTCAGGGAACAAATGGTTGTATTTGAGTTATTGATGTTACTGCAGTTCGCAACATAATAATAAATCAATAACTTGTTCGCTCAGATAAAGTGACCAAACACATGATGACAGTACGGACAGGATGATGAATGCTTCTCACCTGAGGAGGGCGGCTCTAGATTCACACTGACTGTCTGGGGCTCTACTGGTGGAGTAAAGTTCACCTGAGCAGCAACAAACACAGATTTCATACAGAGAACCTTTGCTGCAACGTGTTAGTATGGCTGTGTGTGTGTGTGTGTGTGTGTGTGTGTGTGTGTGCGTGCGCTCACCAGGGGTATCAGCTGTGATGGAGCATCAGTGGGGTCTTCGGGGTCTTTGGGTGAAACCGGTACAGACGGGGCGGTAGCAGCCGCTGAGTCCTCGTCTGTCTTTTCTTCGTCTTCTCTGAATAAACAACACATCACAGAACCACACGGACGTAACGTCAGGCTGATTGTTCACCGGTTCTTTATCTCAAATCCACAGTGACACATTTTGATAGAAAAACATTCAAACTTCTGTCGGCAAAGCAGGCGGTTCTAAATGTTTTAGACTAATGCTACCAAATGTTTATTTTATGCTAAAAAACATTAAAACTGTTGTAATGTAACCAGCGTAGTGTGGACGTACTCCGAGTCTTATTAATTTGTTCTGCTACATGCAGGGCGACTGATGGAGAAATCTCATTATCCATCAAATCTACAGTGGCTGACAAATTGCAGTGTATAAACGCAAAGGCCATTTGAATCACTTTGCCTTGTACTCCAGCAGGGGGTGTAAGATTAAATATCACCCTGACCAGCTGCACATTCAGTAACGAGTCTTCTTCTACCACATAATCATGTTACTGGTGTGCGAGTACGTTTACATGTGTACGTACTTGTCGGGTTTCTCCAGGGGGCTTTCCGCAGGCTCGAGGGAAGCGCTCGGTGTGGAGGGAGAAGAGGCGGGGCCTGTTGCTGTGGGCGGAGCCCCACACACCTGAGACGGTGGCAGTGTGTCTGCAGCCTGTGAGCGGGGCAGGAGAGGGTCCTAAAGAAGGAAGACAACAAGACAATATATGTGGATCAGAATATAGTCGGGCAAGCAAGAGGAAACAGCAGAGACATACTAATTAACTTTTACAAAGATATCTCCACATGAAGATATAAAAGGAACATACATGCACAATTCACGTTCGTTTAAATACGAAGAGTGACGTTTAAAACCTGCAGTAGTCTGTGCTTTCTAACATTTGTTTCCACAGTGTTGAGAAGATAACTATTTGAGATCAGACAAACATGTGATTGTGAAAAGAAAACAGTAATTATTCTGTTTGCTCCTGAGTCATGCAGGTACAGTGCTTCTCATATTTCTGCCTCCAGAGACGAAACACATCATTAAGAGGTTCACCTGCTGGCTGTGGATTGGCAGGTAAGGCTTCTGAGGTTGACTCTGCACACTGAGAGGGGGCGGGGTGGGGACAGGGCTCGGTGTCGGGGTTGGATTTTGGGACTGGGAGGTACCACACCCTTTTTTCACAATTTTAGTGAAGCCTCGCTCTTTCTTAAAATTGTCCACGGCCTGGGTTGGGAGAAACGGACAGAAACCTGAATCACGTGTGAGGATTTCTACACTGAAGTAAGAAACAATCAAGCTCCTGGTCAGACACTTTTAGGATCAAATAAAGAGATAGTTCACAAACCAAACATTTACTCAATTATCTCCACTCCCCTCCAACTCTAACATCAATGTACAGTATTTTCTGCCAATTCACCTGTCGGAGAAATTTATTGGCTATCAGGGTGTCAGGGGAGACTTCTGATTGGCTACAAGTGGGGCAGACGTGTTCCTCTGAATCCAGTAAAGCAGTGCGAATACCTGAGAAACAGATAAACACGGTTGAAATGTAAATAAGATGGCCACAGTACCTTTAACTGGTTAATACATTTTGATGGACACAGTACATCAGGACCAGAATAACTTTTTTAAATACAGCAAGTGTGCATAAGTTTATCTTGATGTCTGTGTGTGTGTGTGTGTGTATGTAGCAGAGACTCACAGTCGTCACAGTAGCTGTTTCCACAGCAGGGTATGACCACAGCGTCACTCAGCAGGTCGAGACAGATCAAACAGAGGAGTTCCTCTGGGACAGGATCCTCCTCTTCTTCTGACTTCGGCTGCTCCTGTGGGACGAACGGAGGCCTCTCCTTCTTGCCGATGGCGTACGCCGCGCTACGGACAGACAACAGTGTGCACGCTGAAAGTTCAAATTCACTTTTGATTTGTTTAGAGGATGCCTTTCACCAGAGTGACTTAAGAAAGTGTGAGATTGGAGTCTTAAAAACACTCTTGAACAGCATTTACATTGTTTGCACAACTTCCCTCGGTATCATCTTTAAAGGAATAGTTATATTTTGGGAAATTCACTTTCTTGCCAAGAGTTAGATGAAATGATACTGCGCTAATTTGTGTCTGTTAAATACACAGGCTACTGCCAGCAGGTTAGCTTAGCTCAGCTTAAATACTGTAAACAAGACATGACACGTTAACTTTAGAGATGAGATGGAATCTGTCAGCTCTGGGAAGAGCCAGGCTACACGTTGACGCTTGTTTTCAGTCCTTGTGTTTTCCCTCAAAATGCCAAACCTTTTCTTTAAAACAAAAGACACACAAACATCGACTCTTTGGTCTCACATGTCTATGGAAGGAATCGCGTAGCGTCCACAGTTGGTCAGCATGGCTCCCTTTGTGTTGGGATCGTCCACCTCCACCATGAAGGAGCGAGGGATGCCTGTGCTCTTCTTTATTCTCATGGGTGCTTCGAAGCTTTTATCCTGCTCCACACACACACAGCATCAAAACACACAAATAACGCATACTGGGTAGCATAAACGTTAAAACACACTAATCAACTCATTTCCTTTACAGAGAAATGCAAGACTTCAACAGACAAGGCCTCTAAGAGATACCACATGTTCTGCTCTTACCGCGCTGACGGGACAGTTCCTGATGTGGTGTCCAGTATTTCCACAGCGGTAACAGGTGTAGTTTGCAGGAAGCACCGTACCAAACTTCTTGTTGTAACTAGAGACAGAGAGACAGACGGACAATGAGATGAAGACAGATGAAGAAAGAAAATTACAGAAAAAGGAAAGTAAAGGAGGAATGTGGAGTAAAGTAGTTGAAGGGAAAAAGGAGACACGGAGGAGGAGATTTGAAATGATTAAAAGGTGACTCACTTCATGTCGTAGGTGGACTGATTTATCATAACTTTGATCTTATCCTCCTCTGACCCTTCCACATCAGCCAGGTTAGCCATCTGCATGTACACACACACATGCATGTGTGCAATAGACACAAAGGTTTCAAACAGGAGGATCAGTATTTAATTAAAGCTGACTCGCATGATCCCGCATAGATTTGTGCAATACATTTTTTTTTAATAAATAGTATACCTTTGAGAAAAGAGGCACGGCTCTGGAAGAACTCTGGTCATCCATCTGTTAGAATTAAACACACAATCAGTTTCGCTGATTCACGACGAGAGCCTCCAGGTTTCAAGTCTTGACAGCTCTATGTTCACATCGAGTGGAAAATTAAAAAAGGCTTAAAGTTTAGCTCCAACACTAAGTTTTGTTACCACTTGTCCTGCTAATCTTGATGCTTTACCCCGTACCACTGGGGATTTTCTATGCAACATGGCACAGTTACTGCTGTAAGTCATAACTTTACTTTAATAGCCGTTATAGATATTACAAAAAAAAATGTCCACCAGCATCCAGCAGTCATTTTCATACAGAGTGGAGAATACATTTCTGTTCTCATCCCAGGAATACTGCCTCCTAACACTTCTCATTGCTCTGAACCTGCTATGACAACAATATAACGCTCCCTGGGAATTTTCACCTGTCAGGACAACATTTTGTAGAATAAAAAAAACTTCTTCTCCTCCTAATGTCCACCTCAGTACCTCGTATCACCTACAATAATTTGTTCCTGTGCACCCGTTCATTGTTTGTTCCTGTATGAGCTGGAACACAGTAGTAAAACCAAAAAAAGAAAAATCAATGTGTGTGACAGATGAGGACATGGTTTTCTATGTTCAGACTAAAGTATCTCACTAAGTATTGGAGTATGAATTGCCTTTAAACATTGTACAAACATTCATGGTCCCCAGAGGATTAATCCCATTAATGGTGCCCTTACGTTTCATCTAGCGCCGCCCTCAGCTCAAAAATCTGGATTTGTTTGATACTTAGATTTAGGAAAATATATCTGAAAATATAATTACATTCCCATCAGCCTGAGGTGAATATTAACACGCTACACCAACAGAGTGGACATGGTGAAATCATACCTGCTAAACAACATGTCAGCATTGTGTTTGTTAGCTGGCTGACATCAGCATTTAGCTCAAAGCACCGCGACTGTCGACTTTCTCTTTGAACAAGAAATAAACTTCACAAATAACAGCACATACAGTACAGTCAGAGTCAAGTATTGTGATTATTCATCTTTATAGGCAATCAATGAACGCATGTCTAACTAAATAAGATTTTAAAAACCTTCACACACCAACATACAGTATACTCATAAACATAACGTACTTTAAACTTCACTTAAAATCCATTGTGCTGGAGTAGAGACTGACTGCACTACATTATATCGTTAATGGCAGTTTGATCTTCCTGCCTGGCTTTGTTAAAGTTCAGCCAAATCTAATAAAAGACGCCATCAAGTTGCAGTATGGGAAATAAAAGCTCAAGTGTTTTTGAAGCTTGATCCATAATGGGGACTAAAGTCAGCATCTCTCTTCCTATGCTGCTTGGATTTGAACAATTCCTTTTAATCTGTTTTTAGTGAAACTGCAATACTCAATCGCTGGAGTACCAATTTAAGCTCGCCCAATGCCCAGTATGATCGTTATTTTTGTCTTTACTGCAAAATGAAAATGTGAACACAAGATTTTGTTATCCAAAATCCAATTTCTGAGGTGGCATAGCGACTCTGTATGAACGTCATTCTCTCTCGTGAAGTCAAACATATAATCAATACATCAGACGGCTTCATACAAATGACTTTATTGGCAGAAAAACACAAAAGAAAAAAAGTTTGTGCAGTACGTTAGACTCAAAGCACTAAGACGAGTGGAAGACACTTCTCCTACTGAGACACCAGAGAGAGAATCAGGTCAGTGCACACTAGTTCAAGTAAAAGCTTTGGAGATGTGTTCCAGCTAGTTTACAGGATCATAAACAGAACTGATGAAATGACAACGGTGCACTACTTCTGAAGAGAGAGGCGTTGGTTATTCACACTGAAACACTGTGAATCATAAAACTGCTGGACTCTGTTTTATGAGAGTGTATAGTTTATATTTTAAAAAGTCCAAATGCTCCCTCGACATTTATTTCTTTCCTGCATTTGAAGAGTTTGTTTGGTGTTAATGAGACATTTACCAGCATCTGTTCACTTCAGAGTACTCTGTAGAGCTAGATTATCCCGATACTAGATTATTCATTTTGATTATTTTGTGGTTGATGACACCGGAATGAGATCTAATATACTTAATAAAATAAAAACGGACTTTAATGTAACTTAAACGTACATCAGCACAAGCTGCACGGCTATTTAAGAAAGGCTACAAATATATCTCCAAGAGAGCGAGTGAGCGAGGGGCAAACAGCAGCTCATGGAGAAGAGACGACAGGGCAACGACTGCCAGCAGCTCACACAGCAACAGTTGGGTTTATCAGCAGTGAATAGCTGGCCTGCATGATAATGAGTGACCCGCCCGAGCAGCTCCCATCACACCACCCACAGACACCCAGTGAACGTCTGGTGACACAGCAGCGTCTTATTTAACAGCCGAGGGCCTTTGATAGAGAGAATATAAACAAATGTATTGTCACTATAAAGTATGTTGTATATTAGAGCAGCAGCTCCCCGTAAATCACATCCTGAGAAGCGCACTACTTTCTCTTTGTAACAGGAACTTAGACCGCAATAGAGGAAATAGAGGCATTCAACGATTCAGATTGAAGCTTCATTTGTTTAAACCAATTCCACCAGAGCACACATTGAACTACTGTTGAAGCACCGATACCGGGTCATGTGTGTGTCTAGTGGAGCTGCAGGAGGAGAGTGCAGTGGGATTTGGTTTGGTTACGTACTGCTTTGTAGGCTCCAAAGGCTTGGTGAGTCTGGACATCTGATCGCTCACTGAAACAGAAAAACACAACGATGTTTCATTCTTACCTTTCACAATAAAAGCCCTGGACATATAATTATTCGCAAGGCAAGTATTTTGCCTTTTAGTGCCATTTATTCGTCCCTCCCCCGATGTATAAAGGCGTCTGCGCTGCCTTTGTAAAGGTTGAAAGGGTTAATGAAGTTTGACGTCCTGGTTTGGACAATTGAGTCTCCATGTTGTTGTTTCATAAATAGAAGCTCAACTCAACCAGTTACGCACACCGTGATTGGTTGATAACACAATAACACGGACCTGTAAAAGTAATTTCTAATCACTCACAACGGTTTTGTGTTTACAGTGAATCTTCCCTTTAGTTCAGTTTAACATCTCATGTTAAGTTTAATGTAAAATGTGACCGTAAAAGCCTTTAGATGACTCAAACGTCCAGGCTAACTCTTTAGCCCTCTGAAGCTGAGTGCTGTCGGTCTGCGTGTGCAGGTGGAGAATTGATTTGCTGCATCTGATCTTGTGGGCAGCGTTCCAACACTCTTCAGCCCTCATTGCTCTCCACCCGTCTGCATGGTGCTGACGAGGCTGATCACATGACCGCCAGTCTGTTCCAGTGAGGTCTTTTCCTGCCTCCCGTGCATAAAGCCCACCCCACTGCCGGTTGTCCTGTCTAAGCCTGACTAATATCTGGGTAATCCCCCTGAACGTCACCATGGAGCTCCACTTCCACTCTTTCCTCTTCTCCTGTGAGCAGATTCTAGCATGGAAGTGTTTTCATAAAAACCTTGTTTCGCTGTCGACCACCAAGTGAAAGATTCAGCTTCTGTATTGATTCACCATGAGCTTTATATTATCGTTTTCTTCATCATGATCCTCTACCTGCACACGTTGCTGCCATCTATAAAAACTCAACAAGGACCGCTCCTATATGTGAACCTGCACTCTACTCATAATAGGCCTATATGATGTAGGCCTTTAACATCAAATACGTACATTTCAGACAATAATTAAGAATATTTTTCTCACTTATAAATGTTTATTTTATTGAGGCTGATGACTGATTCATTGCCATCTTTTGATTTACCGAAACACAACTGTGGAATATTTACTCTCATTTTTAACATGATCCAATGCTGAGTTCCTGGTTGGAGTCCTCAAAGAGTGACAATGCAACACGTAGGCTTTCCGAGATGGTAGCTTAAGGTTTAGACTTTGCAGTAGCAGCGACATGAATACCAGCGCAGGGATTCAGCTACAGTTTGGGCCAAACCAAAAAGAAACACACTTACACGTGGCGGGTCTTGCTTGAGCTGGACTTCGCTCCGATGACGGGGATTCTCCTGACGATGACTGAGGAGCCTTTGGGGATCGAACATTCATCTTCTGTGTACTCTGAGAGGGAGAGGGAGAGAGAGAGTGTTTGAAGTCTTAAGGATCAGCTTAATATTAATCATGAGGGTCTTCAGGGTCTTGAGTGCTGTCTTTCACTACTAGTCTGGGACTGCAACCAGAATGATTTTGACTTGATAAATCTACAGCTGATGATTATTTTCTCTGTCAATTAATCTGCTAATTATGTTCTTGATTCATGGATTGATCTTTCAGTCAACGATGGGTCATAAAATAGTGAAAGATATATATTGTAGTTATCAAGAGCTCAAGGTGACGTCTTCAGTCGGCTTGTTTTCTCTGACAAAATCCAAAAGACATTCAGTTTTCAATCATAGAGGGAACAAGTGAATTATTGGCATTTTTGCTTTAAAAAACAGCTGATTTAGTTCTGTTGAATGAATAATCAATTAATCACTCAACAGTTTCAGAAGATAACTAAATTATACATTTAGTCAATTGTCTAATAGTCTAATGTGTAAATCTGCTAAATTTAACAGAGAATGTAGATCATTTCTGACATGATACAAAATGCTTTGAATGTGATTATTCACCTTCTTTTTTTTTTAAAACACCAAAAAGACTTAATGTTAACTTTACAGCTCAGCAACCAAACCCGAGTTAAAGTAAATACTGACGCCCTTTTGATCCTTCATTGAGACTGACACATCACTGTTAGACCGACGTCTAATGAAAGAGGCCTGAACAGTCTGACTCATGTAACCCTTCTCGTTATGTACGACACTCTTTTTCCGATGAGCTTTTATTAAACTTTCTGTAACTATATAGCAGGAGCACAACTATTTTTATTGTGCTTTCGGTAGAAACACATAACTCGGCGTATGTTGCATCTCACACTGATATAATCATTCATACTTATTAATATGTAATCTATTTTCCCCCTCTCTAGCCTTCTGATTTAGTGACTACATGTTACCTATAACGTGTCACTTTGCTTGTGATTTCCATGTGTGTGTGTGTGTGTCAGGCTGAACTCTAATCTTATGGTCATGACTAGGCTGTGCTCCTATACCCTAACCTTTGCTATTTTTACCCCAGGTCTCTCTTGGGGACCATTAACATGCATGGTGGCACTGACCGGGCTTACCCACCATCACCACCACCATCAGGCCGTTTAAAGTAAGGGTCATGGAGCGTGAACGCAGCAGGAATGTGGCCCATTCATTAGACCCTTTTTGTTCATGCTTGACTTTTCTGGACCCCCCGCTGTCAAAGAGGTGACGTAACCCAGCTGTCAAACACAGACCACGTGGTCCCCCCCCTCCAAGTTTTTTCAGTTCAAACTGTCTTTTATCAGTCCCCCCCCAAAAAATGTGTCACATGTGTCCGTTACCTTCTTTGTTCTGTGCGTTGGTGATCTGCAGGTCGCAGTCCCCGGCTCGCAGCTTCTCCCGGCCCATGATCTGCCTCTTCAGGTCCCTCAGCGTGACGTGCTGGCCGTCAAACACCACGGTGTCGTAGCTGAGTTTGGAGGAGAATTTGTAGTGAACATGAGTCATGCTGAAATGGTACCGAAAAAAAGAAGCCCTCGCGCTGTCAGGAAGCACGGCAAGCTGACAGTTTGCTTGCGGTGCCGGAACACCTGTCTCGCTTAAATTGCTATGGGAGTCTAACGTTTACTAGCTGGCGTTAGCAGCCGGTAGCTAACAAGCTACGTCGTGAATTAACAAACTGCCGCGGATAAAGTGGCGTTCACCGGATGGCATTTCCCGGTGTCTGGTGGAACAGAAGCGGCGACTCAAATCAAAGCGAACCCAGTCAGTCACGAGTCTAATTTCAACTTTGTTTAGTTTTTTTATTCCTCCCAAACGCTGCTCGCAAACCACCGGAGTGTTCGCTGACAGAAACCAAACCAACAGCTGTTTCCACAAGCAACGGCTCGTCAGCACAGTGCACGCGCCGTCTGATGCTGCGTTCACGTGACCCCCCCGCACGCGCTAACTGTTCAAGAATCGAAGTTTATTAATACCAATGTTGCAAAACGCATTCATCCCTCATAATATCCTGCATCGCTTTATAGTGATTGTAGATGTATTTTAAATAGTTATTTTTGTTTTTATGCGTATGTGCTTCAAGAAACTGTATATTATATTTTTGTTGTTGTTTTCCTTTATATATTTATTATATATGTATATTTATTATATATTATATATATATTCATTGTATATATTTCATATATAAAAAAGTCTTCATGGAGAGAAGCAATAAATAGCTCATAGGGTGTGACAATGAAATGAAAAGAAGACGCACAACATTATCTTTTAGCCTGCAAAACATAGCGAATAATAACATACAGCCTAGTAGAGCAAACAAAACCTAGTCGACATATTCACAACCATTTATATAATCATTCACTATCATGTATAAAAGAACACATGTCTATCTTTATGCCTGTCCAATTTAGGATTTAGACATTTACAGATTTCCTCCCTACACCTGAAGCCAGCATCTTGCCTCCACGCGCAGTGCAGTGCCCCTGCACCTGTTTGGCCCTCAAGGGACCAAAGGCAGGCAGGCTCGAAAGCAAACCAGATTCACACCCGATGCTGATTTAATACTTTGTGTTTCTTCTGCATGAGATTTGACATGATGCTTTCTAAACCGCATTGTAGTCATAGCGAGAGTGACACTCAAAAAGCAGCCCAGCTCACTGTGATTCAGGACCACAGAAGAAGAAACATAGGCCTACTTTTTTCTTTTTTTAAATCACAAAATGATAATTATTTTTAATGCAAATCATTTTCAACTAAACCAAATTGTTGACTGCAGTTGTGTCACTTGTGTAGCCTAAACAATCCACTAGATGGAGACAAAGCACCATTTATGATGCTGCTGTTGTGTGCACGTGTGTGTGTGTGTGTGTGTGTGTGTGTGTGTGTGAGTGTGTGTGTGTGAGCTGTACTCCAGTGTGCCATCAGGCTCATATCTGGCCACGTTGGGTCCCACAGCAATAATAAAACATGCTTAACTATCCTCGACTGAAATATAGCCCCATGTTATTTGACTGTAGATTAAATGCAAACCTCTCTTCTCCAATCAGGTTCCTTTACAGAGGATAACGATGCCATTGAGATTTTGCATCACAGTCAGTGTGTGTGTGTGTGTGTGTGTGTGTGTGTGTGTGTGTGTGTGTGTGTGTGTGTGTGTGTGTGTGTGATTACAGCAGCCTACAGCCTCAAACTAATCCATTATACAAAAGCTGGATTTAATTTGATTTGGACCACTTGTAATGCCAATTATTCATATCAGCAATTACATTCTTGATCATTTCAGTTGATCTCCTGGCATCAAAACATTTAAAATTCAATTACATTCTTCACTATCGATAAATTACTTCTTGACTTTTTGGCTGTCTTGCAGAGACAATTTATATATTGAAGCTAAAGCACAAAACACTGGAAACAGAGGAAAACAGCCTGACTCTGTCTTAAGGTAACATAGTCCACCTACCAGCACATCAAAGCTCACACATTAACATATCATATTTATGTTGTTTAAATCTGTAGACAAAAGTGTAAAAATGACGATTTGCTGTTTTACAGGCGGTAATCAGACTACTTCTTGGCTGTTGCCAGGCAGGAAGTTACTGTTCCCAACCAAGAGTCTCCGAAATCCCTCCCTGTTTCCTACACAGGCTAGTATACTGCAGTGTATTAACTGTTATATAGCTTTAGAGGTATTTGGTGGATTTCGTTATCTTGAGACAGAGCTATTGGCTGTTTCCATTCATTATGCTAAGCTAAGCTAACCGGCTGCTGGCCTGCCTTTATATTTACTGTATATGAGAGCGGTATCTATGGTCTCATCTAGCGCCGGCAAAAACACAAATAATCGTTATTTCTCAACATGTCAAACTATTTCCTTTTTATCTAGTCAAAACTGGACTGCATTTCTGATATGAATATATTTCAATAAATTAAAACATTACTTCAAAGAGAAATATAGCTGATGCTATATAGCTTGCCCACAGAAGGTGGAACAGCAGAAATAAAGACTATACAGCCTACACACAACTTGAGGGTATAGGGCATGTAGCTTAGGAAGCAGGAAGCTTCTCTGACATCACCACCATATGTTGGTGAAACTAGAAGACAGCGGTTTACTGAGGATTGCAAGCCGATTGGTTGGATTCAGATGAATGGAAGGAAAGAGAAGGAGTGAGAGGAGTGTTTGAGGAAGAGTTTTGCACTTGATACTCTCTCTCCTCAGTCTCTCTCTCTCTCTCTCTCCTGCCTGCTCTGCTCAGAGGAGGGATTTGCCCTATCTTCCCTGGCTTAGCACACCATTGTGAAAGCAGTGGGAGGATGGAGGGAAGCAGGAGGAGAGAGAGAGAGAGAGAGAGAGAGAGAGAGAGAGAGAGAGAGAGGATGAAAGGGAAACAGCTGCTGCCTTTAAACTGATGTTCTTCTTATCGTGATATGATACAAGACATGTTCAGTGACTCAGCCATCAAAGAGCTGCTTGGAAACAATTATATCTTCGGCTTTACATGTATGTGTGTGTGTGTGTGTGTGTGTGTGTGTGTGTGTGTGTGTGTAAGGTCTAGATGGCAAATGACGTGTTTGAAGAGGAGTATATTGTATATTGTATGTGGAGGCCTATTTTCTACCAGAGGAAGAAAGAAACAGATGACATCCTAGGAATGACAAAAAATAAATAAATAAAATACCCAATTGTAAAACGAGGAATGCACGACAGAAAAGGTTGAATTTATTCATTTGCGTATAATGTTTTTTCTTTTTGGGATCTCGTGAAGGGTCACGACTGAAAAACTGTTCAGTGCTACATTTACATACCAGCTGAAGGCTACATTAAATAATGCTAATAATAAAAAAAAAAATTGTGAAGTCTACAAAAAATATTATGAAATATGTAAATCACAAGTATCGAAAGCCCAAGAGGAAGTGTTCAAATCTCACATTCAGTCTGGCCAACTGTTTGAAACCTAAAGATTTCCTTCTCCAGTCATATGAAAGACAGAAAAGTGTCCTCACAAGGGGCTTAAACCAGCGAATGTTTGGCGTTTTAACTGGATAAATGACTGACACCATGAAAATGGTGTCAAAATAAATTCAAATCTCTGAACAATTAGTTTGTTGTTCACAAACAGATTTCCACTTCTCATCCATTCAAGCTAACTGCACTGGTTTTTGCCACACGTGTTCAAACGAGTGAGTACAGTTGTTCTACAATTGTCACAATAACCCCACATGCACATGGCCTTCTGATCAGAACTGATGGGAAGCTGTCATGTTCTTCACAACTTCTAAACGTTCGTTCATCCTTTGAGCCATCACATGCAAAACGATGCATTGAACTATCAAAATATCAAGATTTATATTCCATAAATGGGACCAAACTGATCAATGGATGACGGACTCCTTTTCCCCCTTCATCCCTCCCTGATGCCACACCCCCCTGATCGTCTCTCCACTGCCGTCTTCAGCCCCCAAACACTTTCTCCTCTTCCTGCTCGCTCTTTCTCTCCACCTGACGCTCTCTCCTTCTTGTCTTTCTGCTTGAGCAGCGTTCACAGCTCCAAGGCCTCTTTTTTTCACACTGCAGATGGCCATAGTGTTACTCCACTCAAAGGCAAACACACATGCACACACACACACACACACACACACACACACACACACACACACACATTGCTCTCTTCGTCAGTGACAAAGGTTCAGAGAGCTTCGTCAGTGACAATGGTTCAGTTTGCCCTTCTCAGAGAGCAGAAGTGTCTCTTGTCCTGTGGCGATCACAAAGAACATCCAAAGCGGACAAATGCAGCGGCAGCAACCTGTCAATCATGAGGGAGTCCCCCCCGAAGCAAACTGTGTTTTTTTAAAATCTATTTGACTCTAAATGGACCATGATGTACTAAATGAACATCATGCTGTATTGAAGAAGACTTGAAACTAGAGATTGAGACCATAAACTCATGTTTACAATGTTTACTGAGGTAATAAATCAAGAGAGAAGTAGAGTCATTTTCTCATAGACTTCTATACAACCAGAGGAGTCGCCCCCTGGTGGCCTTTAGAGAGAATGCAAGTTTAAAGCACTTCCGCATCGGCTTCACTTTTCAGACCCGAATGTTGCCGCTCGGTGGATAAATGTGAGTTTCAAATCAAACTTTGTGCCCCAAGATGCACAGTGACAGTACAATATGTGTGAAATATCATGTAATGTCATAAATTAATGTAATGTCAACTTTTAAACTTTGATGGTATAATTTCCAGAACATTTATGGAGATATCCATTTTTGTAAAATTTGATTGAAATTGACAGACAGACAGACAGACAGACAGACAGACATAGATAGATAGATAGATAGATAGATAGATAGATAGATAGATAGATAGATAGATAGATAGATAGATAGATAGAGATAATTAGGACATCAAAGCTGGCAGCCACTCTCCCTCAGAGCCTCAATCAGTGACAAACAGCTGTTCTAGCAACATCCAACTGGGACACACACACACACACACCCACACACACCCACACACACACACACACACACACAAACTTGTATTTGTGGGTAACACTGGAGAGGGTCGTCATCAGGCTGTCTAAGAGACAGAACCCCTGCAAAGACTGTTGGTATTAGTCGTCGTATTAGTACTTTTACTGAAGTAAAATATGTGAGTACTTCTTCCATCTCTGCTCACACAGGAGAAACTTGATAAAGTGCAACAACAGAGTCAGTTTTAATCAGGAGTTCACTAAATCATCAGAACTAATAAATCACTATAAACTATTCAGTGAAGGAGAAACAAACTGACGCACACATGATGTATGGATCACCACAGCAACACACAGGAAGGTGCTGGATGTGGTCAGAGAGATATTGATCTGTTGATCGACAGTCAGA